AGGGTGGGGGGATGGGTTAGCCTGGTGATGGGTATTAAAGAGGGCACGTTCTGGGTGGAGCACTGGGTGTTATGCACAAACAATGAATCATGGAACCCTACATCAAAAACTATTGATGTAATGTATGGTGATTAACATAACAATAAAAAATTAAAAAAATATTTTGGCTTTCCTGAAAGATTCATGAACAAGGCAATATCTAATCTAGCAACTAGAGGGGAACTCCTAGGAGATGAGTTGTACAAAAATGGAAGGTTGCTTTTCTTTTTTTAAGATTATTTATTTATTTATTTAACAGAGAGAGAGAGAGAGAGAGAGAGAGAGAGAGAGCACACAAGCAGGGGGAGTGGCAGGCAGAGGGAGAAGCAGGCTCCCCGCTCAGCAGGGAGCCCAATGTGGGACTCAATCCCAGGACCCTGGGATCATGACCTGAGCCAAAGGCAGCCACTTAACCAACTGAGCCACCCAGGCATCCCCAAAATGGAAGGTTTTTATAGGAAGAACCGTGGTGCAAGAAGTTATTAGCAAAGGAAAAGAGAAGATTGTTTCAGGAAAGGTCAAGTTCCCTGAAGGGGAAGGGCATGGGGTCTTATTTGGTGAATTACCTCATGTTACTTTGGGGGGAATGGAGAGGGCCCTTATGACAGATTATCTCATTGGTGCTGATCAGAAAACTCCTGACCAACCAGTTAAGACTATATTTCTGAGGATGGTTGAAACTTTAATTAGGTTGGTTATTAAGTATCGGTTTTGTGACATGGCCTAGCATAAATGACTTCATCTGGGGCTAATGGTTTTCTTTTTAACGCTTTTCATATACATGTATATTTTGGCAATGTATAATTGTTATGTGAAACTGGGTTTGCCTCTTGGTGGGTGTTCAGCCAAACGACACAATTAAGCCAAAAAATAGGAAAAGCAAATGTTTTTCTTAGAACAAGTGAAGGAGAACCCCAGAGCTCTTTCCCAAAGCAGTGTCTTCGAATAACAAAATTGGTGATTTGTAAGCTAAGGGTACATACATATCCATGATGGGGCTTGTGCAATGGGGAATATTGCATTGAATTGGAGCAAAAGTTATTTTAAGGTTATAAAAGTTTATTTTAAGATTTCCAGGTCAAAGTGGGAAGGGCAGTAAGGGTCAGCATCATCAATTCTCTGGCTCTAGTTGGTCTGGTGTCCAGGTGCTCAAAGGAGCTTAGATTTTGTAAAGATAACTCAAGTGTATGAGTCAGGTCTTCACTTTTTCATTTTATTTTTTAGAAATTTTTTAAAGATTTTATTTATTTATTTATTTGAGAGAAAGAAAGAGAGCATGTGAAGGAAGGGGCAGAGGGAGAGGGAGAGAATCTCAAGCCGACTCCTGGTTGAGCATGGAGACTGATGCAGGGCTCTATCTCACGGCCCTGAGACCATAATCTGAGCCAAAATCAAGAATCAGACATTTAATCAACTGAACCATCCAGGCGCCCCTGTTTTTGTTTTGCTTAAGATTTTATTTATTTGAGAGAAAGGGAAAGAGAGAGTCAGTCTTCACTTTTGAATATGATTAGGCTATCTACTCACCTGAAGTGGCTATTTGTTCTCACACTCTTTCAGAAGATGGCTGGGAGCCTAAAATGACTTTTTCTTTTTCTTTCCTTTCTTTCTTTCTCTCTCTTCTTTCTTTCTTTCTTTCTTTCTTTCTTTCTTTCTTTCTTTCTTTCTTTCTTTCTTTCTTTTCTTTCTTTCTCTTTCTTTCTTTCTTTCCTTTCTTTCTTTCTTTCGAGTAGGTGGAGGTCAGTGCAGGGCTTGAACACAAGACCCTGAGATCAAGACCTGAGCTGAGATTACAAGTCATATGCTTAACCAACCGAGCTACCTAGGAGCCCCCTAAAATGACTTTTCTTATGCGAAGGAAGTGATGTCTTCTTCCATGGACCTTTAACTCATTCTGCTTATATAATTTTAAAAGAGTTAAAAATATGACTCTGCTATAAGTACATAATAAATGTATAACAGATTTATTCAAGTCATATTAATGAATGAACTAGCTCTATATCCTATTTATTGGCTTTTGCATTAATATGAATTGATAAATCTTTGGTGCACATTCATTATATATCTGTATGACAGTCATGTTTTTAACTTTTTAGAAATTATACTTTG